ATCCAGATTGTCCCCAGAAAAGGTGGGGACAGGCCCCGAGGCTCCAGCAGAAAAGCAGCAGAAGCCCCAAACATCCACACCATTGTATTTTCCTGATCTCCCTTTGGCCTGAACTCTGCCTGGTGCCCTGTGTGTGTCTCTGGCCACAGAGGCGACTGTGGTGCCCAGTCCCATGACTTACAGCTGTGTGGGCTCGGGGGAGTTGCATTCCTTTGCTGATTCTCAGGATACTCACCTATAAATAGAAATAGTAACCCCACCTTTGGGCAGACTGGTGGCGGGAGTAAACAACATTCCAGGGGAAAGCGCTGAGCAGGTAGAAGGCATTGAGGATATGTGGTGTCCTTTTCTTGTCCCTGTATCCCTGTGATTTGGAGGGCGCTGTGGGGGTGTAAGGCCAGCTGCAGCACTTTGGGATCCACCATAGTGTTTGAGCAAGTCCGTCCTCTCCCGTTGGTCTGGCTGACAGCGTCCCAGCACCACCTGCAGCCTGAGGCTCTTTCTACCCCAGCCCCCTTCCTCCTCCCTCTCCTTGCACAGGTGCCTGGCATCGCAGTGGCAGAGTGCCTCCCTGCCTGCTCCTGCCCTTTATCTCCTGTGTCATTTAAAGGCATTCACCTGAGCAAATCTATCTCACTTTTAATTCCCTCTTGGTGTCTGCTTCTTTTCAGACCTGAACTGACCCAAACCTCAAAGAAAATATCAACAAATCCCCTTAAAAACAGTCGGTGAAACCTCCAGTTAACAGACTGCTGGAGCCCCCGGTTCCTCCTTGGATGATGCTACTAGAGCTTTCCATCCTGGTTGGGCTCCCCACCTGCCCTCATGAGCACTTTTTAGTACAAGGAGACTTTCCTCCCAAAGCAAAACATGTACAGTCCTTAACTGTATGAGCAATGTAATGAGATGATCTTGTCAGCAAATTGTCCTCCTACACATTGGCAAGCTCATGTGGGTTTATGCTTTCTTAAAGAAAATACAGTTGATTATGTATTTTCCATTTTCCATTATTTCTTGTCTGTGGCACAGGTAAGAGGTGTTAGATGTCAGAGTGAAGACTCATCAGGAGCCAAAAATGGAAATGCAAAGGCCCAAAGAGGCGAGGCTGGGCCACTAACCTGAGGATCACCTACACCCTGTGGGCTGCTGGGAGGGGTAATGAGAAAATGCTGGGAGGGGTTGGCACCTCCTTCTAATCTAGTGGGGCCTCAATAAATCTCATTGTCCTTATCACTGTTGTTCCTGCCATCACTGCCAACACCGCCAACATCACAGGGCAGCTTCTCTAAAAGGCCCCACAACAGCATGCGAAGCCTGAGGTGTGATCCAGAGAAGTTTCCAAGAGGATCACGAAAGGGATGGTTTGTGAGGACAGAGAGGGGAGAGACAAAATAAATACGAATGGCCAGAAATGCAGTGAAGAAAAAAAAGAAAAGACCAGCATCAGCGAAATTCAAAGAAGTATCAGCTTGGTTATTAAGATATGTTTGGCTCTGAAATTGGAAATGATTTTGAAAATAGCAAGACCTGGTTTGGGAAAGAGTTATCACCACCGATACTTCTGGGGGCAATGAAGATGGACATAATTTACCTGGAAGACAATTTAGCCCTTGGTGTGAGTGCCCTTAAAAACACACAGGCCTCAAAATTGCCTCAGCAGTTCCACTGCTGTGAGTTTATTTGAAGAAAAGAGATGGGCACATCTGAGCCTCAAGACTGCAAGCCATTTTTGTGATCTTTTCTATTAACTTGGTCCAGGGTTGAGGTCACCCTGCCAGGAAGTTTGCTCCTCAAAGGAATCTGCATGGCTTTGATTTTGAAAAGGAGAAATGCAAAGTCCACAACCAAGTATTTCGTGAGCAGATGGATATACAGATCCCACCTGAGGCCCTGGACTGGTGAGGGTCCCTGGAGAGATCAATAGGGCGACCGGAACCTCTTTTTTCATAGGCATGGAGCCCAGAGGAAACCACATAATTACCCACCGGCAGGGTGAGCTGAGTTCCCAACATGCCGCATTGCTTTGTTTTTGTCTGGAATGATAATAGCTCAGTGCTGTCACCCCGGTTACTTCAGGAGCTCTAATTAGCAGCCACATCTGATTAATAAAAATGAGGGGTTTATTATTAAGTGACAGTTTCATAGACAAAATCCTTCAAAACACAAGGCTCTGAGTAGGGAGTGGACCCTGATTTAAAAGGTCCTTCTAAGGGAAGATCTCAGGCACTATTGCTATAATAACACTTGTTATTTTTCGTGTGCTCCTTTTGGGCTGGGCACTGTGCTTTGTGCCTCCTTGTTTTAACTCATTTCACTGTAACTACAATTTTGTGAGGAAATTGAGGCATAAAGAAATTTAACTAACATGTTCAGATGTGCACGGAGGGCAAGTAGTATAGCCAAAACTCACACCCAGGGCTGTCTGACCCCAAAGCCAGAGACCTTGAGGACTGTTACATCGTCATTCCCTGTATTCACGCATGCATGCATGTATTTATTGGGCTCCTCCTGTGTGTAAGGCACTGCTCTGGACACAGCAGTGAACCAGGAAAAAAGCCTCTATTTTCCCAGAGCTTCTGTTATATTGGAGGGAGGCAGACAAATTAATAAACATACGAGCACTGATAATACGGAAAATAAAGCAGAGTTAGGGGACAGAGTGAGACGGGGAAGGGTGTTATTTTCAGTCGGGTGCTCAGGGAAGGCCTCTGGGAGGAAAGGACATCGGAGCAGAGGCCTGAGTGAAGGGAAGGAGCCGTGCTTGAGGCTATGTGGAGGATGAGCCAGAGGCAGCACCTGTCCCTTGCCCCCCTAATACAGAACTGCAAGGGCTCCCCCAACCCCCAAATCAAACTTGAATGAGTTTGGGAGTCTCACTGTGTCATCTCAGCCTGGCAAGTAGAGGCTCAAAAATGCGTGCCAGGGAACATGATAACTCAATGCAATGTCTCATCAGGATCAGACAAAAATCACCATAAAGGGCATTGTCAGTATAATTAGAGAAATTGGATATGGACTGTAGATTAGATAATTGTATTGTAACAGTGTGAGATTTTCTGCATTTGATAAGTGTATTGTGGTTATGTAGGGGAATGTCCTTTTCTTAGAGCAGATAGTCTCATGGTTTAAGAGAAGTAGAGTTCAAATATCAGCAACTTACTTTCAAATGGATTAGCAAAATCATCCTCCTCCTATTATTATTGTGTTTGTGTGTGTGGAGGGGAGAGTTGTATTGTTCTATCCACTTGTTTAAGCTAAAACTAAATTTCCCAGAATCCCTTTCTCTATGTGGTTCCGGATTAGAATTGGCCAAAAGCAACATTGCGCAAGATTTGGAAGGCAGAAGTAAAGCAGGAGCCATTACTCTCTGAAGTTCTTCAGAGTTGGATGCAGGGAGACACCTCTGTGCTCCCAGAGGTTCAGGAGCGGTCCAGCTTGCCCTTGCTCTCCTGTGCCCACCAGACATCCGGGGGCAGGGGAGCTATGCAGAAGCCACAGCCTTCCCTAGACTTACCAGTGGTGACTACTTTATTTGGAGATTATAGTTCAAAAGGCAAATGCAGGGCCTCTTGTTGAAAAAGCAGGAAAGAAGTGTCATTAAAGGTACTAAAATAAAGCTTTTCCTTCCTTCCATGGTCTTTCTCTCGACTGGTCATGGTCATGTGTTTTTTAATTTGCTATTTAATATCATCCTAAGCAAAGGAAAACTTGAAATCTAAATGTTTAGCATAAATTTTACTGTTCATCTTTATAGTATGCAAATAAATACAAGAGCATTAATTTGTATGTGAATTACACAATATGTATTTTGTAGCTTATACATGCATATGCATTTCTTATACCGTTCTTAGCAGTGTGGTAGAAACCTGCACAAAACTGTGTTGTTTTTATATCACTTCGCTGATTTTCTCGCATTCTGCCCGTATTCACTACCTTCAGCTTACTGATAAGGAAAAGAATATACAGGTTACCATGTCTTTCCCTTTCCTTCTATGCTATTATTTTCAGTGTAAGTGTTTGGCTAATATACTTGAGTAACTTGAGTAAGAAAACATATGATGAGGGTTCCTTGGGTGATGGGTGTTTCTTAGAACCCCATTGCCTTCTTTCTGCTTCAGAACTAAGTTCTAGTTTAATAGAGAGTGACCTCTCAGGCCTCTCAGAACCCCTGCTTAGTCAGTTATAGACACAGCACACTTCCCTTGGACTAGCTTTGAGTCTCACTCAATTCCCACGCATTGTGGGTCACTGAATTTCTGTGCTCATCAGGCATCAAGAATACAATATGCAAAAGGAGCAGCAAGGAACTATGGGGACACACATATTGCCCATACCTCTTTTTGCTCAGGCTGGCTAGTGACTTAGCTCTGATCCCGAACTCTCTCTTCCAAATCCTTACTTCCCAGCTTCTACCTCAGTTGTGTAAGTTCTTGATCCTGTAATAAATCCCTTATTCCATTATACTCACAGTGGTTCTGCTTTCCAGACTGAACTTTGACTGACAGAGAAAGTTAAAGTATCACCATATCAGCAACTGGTGAATCCAGGTGTCCAGTGAATCATTCTTATAACTTCTCTGTAGAATTCAAATTTTCCTAAATAGAATTTTCAAAATAACATCAAAACAACTTAAAAATAATAATATTTTGAGTAATGAATTAATGAGCAAATCAATGAGTGTCCTTGTTAACTATATGTGCTCCTATTATCCTTTATTTAGTTGACCACATTAAAGTTTTCTAGACTAGTAAAAATACCTCCCTTTAGTAGCAAAGACTCATTTTTTTATCCACACATTCCAAAACTTTTTGGAAGTCCAGCTCTATATCGCTGAATTTTGAGCCCAAATCTCTCTCTCTCTCTCTCTCTCTCGGGGAAAAATAGTATTATGTATATGTGTTAGTCTGATTAAAGAGGTTGTTATGCCCCCAGCACAAAGAATTGAACATCTGATATTGTATATCATAGAACCTTTATTATTTTTCCTCTAAATTCTTAGGAATGTACATAATGTCCGTGCTCTAGTTATGACACCATTTATAGACATTTAAAATGCATCTTCATTTATAAATATTTTACATTTGGTCCATAGAACAGATAATTTTACTAAATAATACTGTAATTTTTTTAAAACAGGCTCTGTATATAGTTTGAATATGTTTATATTACATATATTTTTATATAGAGATAGATTTACTTGGTGTTCAGAGAATAAATCCTTATTGCAAAAAAAAAAAAAAGCATATATGATAATACAATATCTTTTCTCCCCAGGGCAAATACTAAAAAAAGTTACACATATTCACAGTTCTCACAGTAATTGTACGACACATAATATTGTGCTATGTAAGTAGGTTTGGATGGAAATCAGTTAGGGGATTTCTTGCCAAACATCGCACTTAGACGTGCTTACGGACATGAAATACACTGCATTTGTCTTAAAAAGACTTGGTCTTAGTTTCACATTGAAGAACAAAGAGAAAGTTTGAAATTTTCCTGCCCTTATTCTAAAGGAATTCACACAGGATGGGAGTGGGACCATGAAACACAGTGAAGGGTTCCTTGCAGGCTAAGCCCTATAAATTAACAATACATACGCAGTTGATCATAAACTCACCAGCTGGCACTCAGGATGCCTTAGCAATGAGACTATTTTACAGATGACCTCAGGAAAAGGTTTTAGATTTCCTACACAATATCAAACAAGACCCTATTTACCACGCATGAGGACGAGTGTAGTTGTGTGTGCATTTATATGTATACAAGTACTTTTTATTTTCTCTACAATAATGTGCTTAATATTCTGAGGGTAATACCTTATTGCAAGAACTGGTATGCTGGTCACTGGTCACTTTAGGATGAGAATGACAAAAGATTAAAAAACCCACAGTCGAAGTTATTTACCATAGTTATTGAGGATTATTTGTAAAACACAGTTTGTGAGCTAACTAGCTAAGGAGCTACAGGGCACAACAGACCATTTGTTACATGGGAACCCATTTTCCTGGCAAATGAGAAACGCTGAGTTACTGGGGCTTGCAAGGAACTGTCTTTACCCGATTTGCCGATTTGCCGCCACTGCGGAGCCCATTCCGGAAAAGAACAAAAACGACTTCCCAAGGAAGCAGTTTTATTCTTGGAAGCACTTTGGGGGTGGGGGTGGGGACCTGGATTAACACTCGGTCCTCAGTTAGTGGCTGGGCAGATTTTAGTGGCAGTGAGGGGATTCCCACTGGGGGATTTCAGAAAAGGTAAGAAGGCAGCAGCTTTGAATGGGGTGGCAGTGAGGGAGATAGTTTAAAAAAGATAACTGGATCCATTTTGACTCAGGGACAGGACTTGACCTTGATTTCCTCTGCAACCGTTCTGTGTCCTGTAAAGCCTGGCATCCTAAGAGAAACTGGGGCTTTGATTAGGGAACATCCCCAGCAGGATCTTAGGTCCCCCAGAATGATGATAAAAATATTAATTGTGCTTGTGGCAGTTTTCCAAGGAGCAGGGCCAGGTGCAATCAGAATGGCTTGCCGAGGAGGGGGCAGGAAAGCTTAGCTGCAGAGATGCTCACTCAGCCGGTGGCAGGGAAAAAGGACACTACACAGATTGCTTGGGAAGCACGTCTGGGAACGCTGACTGAGGTCCTTGGGGCTTGTTTTAAAGTCAAGCTGCCTTGGGAAGGAGAAAACTAAAAAATGAAAGAGCTCCGCTGGCTCCCTGCTACTTAAGAGTGAGCTCTCCCCAGAGACCTCTGTTATACAAAATGCCCTTTTCATGTGTACAGAGCAGCGTTCCACGGAAACGAACTCCTGCAAAGTCCAAGATAACAGTCATGGGTTTCAGCAGTAAGAGAACAGTCAGGAAAACAACTAAAAGCCAGGAGGGTGCAGCCTCACCGCGTCACACTCACTGGCGGGATAAAAATGATCTACCATGGCAGTCACAAATGCAGACTGCTTGATGCTTATGGGGTCCGGATTAAAAAGGTCACCGGCCCTCGGGTGCCGGAGCCATCGAGTATCTTTGCCCAATGCAGGACCCACTGGGGTGAGACTGTCCCCTACCTCCCCTCTCTGCATGGTGATGGTGTCTGGACTCGCCACTCGAGGTAGCTTGAGATAGATGGTATGTTCAGACATCAAGTGGTGGTCATGCTCAGCCAGGCTGGGGGGGTTGGTGAGAGTGCTGGGTCGGCGAGCCTCCCTACACCCCTAGATGTAGGCCTCTTTGCTGGCTGAGCCACTGGCCTGGGGTTGCTCTGGACCATTCTCCGGGCGAACGATGTCTTCGCTGGGCTGGATCATGACCTGAATGCGCTGTGGACACCGGAGAGAATTTGGGCTGAGATAGGAGACTGGCCTTTCTGTTCCCCCACCATCTTTTCAAGTCTATTTTGTCTGTTCTGCCTTCAAACTGTGCCTAGACTCCGGTACATGTCTCCACATCCTCTACACCCTCTGATGCTCCCACACACAGCTCCCCTCACTTGGGTTATAGTAATAACTCCCTCCTAGCCCTCCACGTCTATTCTTGACCCTCATCCCCTTCATTCTAATCTCAGCACAGCACACGGAGGAGTTATGTTAGAGAACGTGTCCCTCCTCATTATGCAAAAATGGCTCCCACTTCATCAAAGCCCTCCAAGGCCCCATATGATCTGGCCCTTGCCACCACAGACCTCCATGTCCTCCGCTCACCCCCTCACTTCCTTCACTCCAGCCACACTGGCCTCCTTACTGCTCCTCACACACACCACGCATGCATCTGCCTCAGGGCCTTTGCACTTGCTGTACCCTCTGTCTGGTACATCCTTTCAGGGAGTTTCACAGCTCCATCTCTGCCTCCTTAGGCCTTGGCTCAGTGTTTCTCCTCAGCAAGGCCTTGCTCGGCACTCCCTGGACCCCTTCCTACTTTATGTTTCACCCTAGTACTTCTCCCCATCTAATGTGTTTTTATTTTGTTATTTGTTGATCTTCCCCTACTAGAATGTAAACTCCAAGAGATTGGGGTTTTGCCTGTTTTGTTCAATGCTGTGTCCCCAGTACTGACAATAGTGTCGGGCGTATAGTAGGTGTTTGATACATATTCGCTGGGTGGATGACTCTCCCACTACCTTCTCCATCCATATCCCCTGCAATCCTGCCACATCACATGATGTGCTATCTTCAGACCTGCCTTGCCCTTTCCCACCACTGTGCCTTTGCACAGGCTGTGCTCTCTTGCACAAACGCAGACCTGACTTTCTTCTGAGGCTCAGCCGAAGGTAATGGAGAATAAAAACATTAGACCTGGAGTCGGGAGAAAAGGGCTGCAAGCCCTGGCTCTGCTAATAACTTACTGTAAGGAATGGGTAAGGGTTTCCTCACTTGGCTTCAGTTTTTCAGTCTGCGATAAAAAGGAGGCTTCCCAGCAGCTCCAGGGGCTGCGCATACTCCATCACCCGCCTGCCCTACACTGCGGACGTGGGAGCCCCTCCTCTGGCTCTGAGTGGGTGTAGCGAGTACATCTTGGTGGGAAATAGTGTTGAGGGCCACGGATCCGGGTCTTCCCAGCTGTGGCCCTCCATAATCTGATTCTCCACTTTTCCTCAGAGAAGCCTTCTCAGCCTACGCTTGCTCCATTAATGTCTCTAGCACCTGGGTACCTTCAGCACTGCCTTGTTTCACTCAAGAATTTGATATAATTTAACAAAGAGCTGGCATGGACCTAGTAGGTGCTAGTGGGGCGGCATGTCTCATATGCTTTGTTTTTCCTTGAGGGTAAGACCATGTTTTCTCTTCATCAAGCTCACAAATGAGGTCTTAAATAAGCCCTCAATACATCTGATTCTACCCTTCATCTGCTTCGAACCCTTGATGGCTCCCCATTACACTGAGAATAAAGCCCAAAGCTCTTATTCTATTTTCAAAGCCCTCCATGATCTGGCCAGACCTTCTTAAATTCCCAGCCTCATCTCCATCACCCCCCTGCACCCCTCCTCACTCTACCCTCCAGCCACCTTGGTTAGTTTATACCTGTGGGCCTTTGCACATGCTTCCCACCCTCTTCTAGGAACATTCTTTCTGCTTCTGCTTTTAACTCTGGCTCCTACTTAGCTATCCCCTTTCAAGGAAGGCTTCCTAACCGTCCTCAACCCAGGCAGGGCTTACCCACCTCCCTGGTTTACCCCAATCATGGCACTTCTAATACTCCATTGTCATTGGCTATTGATTTGTTTGTCTCCCCAGCTAGACTGCGAGCTCCATAAGGGTAGGGGCTGGCCCAGCACAGTGGGGGAAGGGGACCAATGGTGCAGAGGGTGGAGGAGGCTTACCTGCTTCAGGGAGCCCTTTAAGGTGAGGAACATGTAGGCCATGTACCCAGGGATGAGGACCATGGAAGACAGAGCCATGAGCCAGCCAACGCCCTGGCCCCATTTGGGGAAAACATAGCTTCCCATGGTGAGAGGAGTCATCTGCACAGCACTGAAAATGAACACACCCTGCAAGGTTGGAGAAGAGGGAGTAGGGGGCAGTCAGTCACACATATTGGACAATCAAGGCCCCCCATTAGATCTTATAGATGATGGGTCCACTGCCCTTCACCCCTATCCTGAGGCTGACCCTCACAAGGGCCCAACATCTTGGGAATCCTTCCAGTACCTACGGTGCCTTTGTGCATGATAGAAGAAGGTACCTTGTCTGGGAGGAACAATAGCAAATAGAGCCTTCTTTGTGATAACCAATAGAAGAGGGCACCCTTCTTGGAAGAACCAGTATGAAAAAGGCACTCTCTCTGGGAGGACCGGCAGAAAAGCGTAGTTGCTCTGAGAGGACCAATAGAAAAAAGCATCCCCTCTTCCAAGTTAACCAGCTTGGCAAGCAGAACAAGGTTGAATGTCAGTCCCCATTCCCGTTGGATGGGTACCCTTGTGCAGGACACATGTGCAGTGGCCCAGCTACCACACCAAGGACTTGGGGCAGCCCCCTCCCAGCCTGCTCATGCCTCAGCTTCCTCTTGCAGAAGCAAATGAGAGAAGCTGAGAAGGGGAGACCCCCGCGTATGGATAGCGTGGGCTTTGGAACTAGGCTGACTTAGTTCGAATCCAGCACTGACACACTGTGAGGCTGGCTGGGGTAGCGCTGGTAAAGCGCTCTCTCAGCAGTAAAGTGAGGCAATATTGTTTATTTTTTCTGACGTTTGTGAGAATGATGTAATATGTCTGGTTTCATGAAGAGCACAGAGGAGATGCCCAACAAATGGGAGCCATTAGTATCAACAGGGAACGGGAGTCTGGAGTCTCTTCCATCCACCTCTGTCGCTAGATGTTTTTCTCTGGATCTGAGTTGCCCCAGCGCCCAGCCTGTCCTTGTCCTGACAGGGCTGGCCAAGCCTTGTCCTTACCGCCACAATGATTGGGGTGAAGAAGGACCAGCACAGCTTCCACCAGATGCAGGGCCTGGAGCCAACCATCTCTTGGATGTTGTCATAGAATCGGTTGACACCTGTGGCATTTGGAGCAAAAACAGAAGAGATGGATGAGTTGTGGGCACGAAAGATTAAACCCAATCTGTCACTTTCTCTCAGTATGGCCACAGGTAAGTCACCTAACCGGAGTCTCAGTTCCCTCATCTGTAACGTGGGGCTCAGGCTCTGAGGGGTGCTTGTTATCTAAGTAGTCAATAACCAAATCCTCACACCAAGTGGGTTGTGTGGGAAAGCAAATTACCTTAATGTGAAAATATCTACCAAAAATCAAATATACTAACAAAATGTGTCCCCATCACTTTTAATGTCCCTCACAGGCAACATCTATCCTAGCCATTCTTGCAAAGCCTTGCTGGGCAGGGAGGGTTTTCCCTGGTGATTTGCTACTGCCAGCAGTTGGTAATAGATTGCACAGAAGAACTGCTAATCTTGCAAAGACCCAGAGATGTCATGAAGTTCACGAGGGAGACACTGGGCACTGCTCCAATTATAAGCAAATTCATGAGGATTTGATAGCACTAGACCAGTTAGAGCTGAGGAAAGAAAAATGATGATAACGTTGAGGTGGCAAAGAAGATACAATGATTATCAGGTACTAAGAGGGACCTTGGAGAACACTTCCCTCAAAGACATCATCTTGCTATGATGATCAAAGTATAGGGAAGGACATCCTTTTACTATTGTGCAGCTGGTTCTGAAAACTTAGGCCACAAACTCAACATATAAAATCATTATTTCCTTCATTCTTTGCTCTAAGATAATGAACACTTTTAACTTTAGAATTTGTTTTGGTAGCTTTGGTTTCCCTTTTCTAGATAAAATTTCAAACAAACCATGTTATCTTTCCATTTTAAATGAGTTTATTTAACTGTTCTTATGCTATCTTCTAAATGTGGAACCTCCTGTGTTAACATCATCAAATTGTTGTGAGAACTAAATACATGAATGTATGGAAAGGACCTGGTGTTCAAGTGGTACTGAGTGAATGATAACTGAAGAAAGGAAAAAATGAATGAATGAGTCGGGGAGGGTGGGAGGCTGATGCTCACCGTAAAACCAGGAGATGGAGACACATTCAAAGAACACGAGAAACAGCAGGCTCATGCCACTGGCAGAGTAGTAATCAAAAAGCTTGAAGACATAGATGCCACCCTGCAGGAGGAAAAGCAGTGAGAGCGATGCCCGTTCTGCCAGGGACCAGCACATTCAGTTCACAGTCAGCGTGGACTTTACAGTCTGATGAGGTTGGGGTTAGGCTAAACATGCAGCAGGATGGCTCGTGGGAAGATTTGAGAAAGCACTTGTGACTCTGAGAGAATGTGAGTGTTGATTCTCTGGAGACTGGGAGGCAAATGGGCAGGGAGTGGAGGGCAATGTCCCATTTCTGGTAAGACTGGAGGGCGGAAAGGAGCCACCTGTCCACAGTGTTCAATCAGTCATGTCCCTCCCCCGCTTAAAACCTTCCATGGCTTAAATAAGATAATAACTCAATACATACGTAAGTAGAAAAATAGAAGATAAAATAAAATCCAAATACCTTGGCCTTGAAGGTCCTGCATGATCTCTGGTACTACACCCCCTACTTAGCCCTCAGCTCCCTCTGCCCCAACCACACTGGCCTTCTCTCTTTTGCTCAAGTTCACTAAGCCTATTCCCACCTCAGGGCCTTTGCACCTGCTGTGCTTTCTTCCTTTAGCTGGCTCTTCTGCACATTTCAGTCTCAGCTCAACTATCACTTCAGCTCAACTCTCACTTCCTCAGAGGGACTGCCCCTGACTACTCTGGAGAGGGAGCATCCCTCCCCGTGCCCTTGTGGGTCATTCTCTGTCCCACCACTCTCTTCTTCATGGCACTTAATGATCTAATGGGCATGCCAGTCTTGCCCACCAAATACTGTCAAGTTCACTGCTGACCTCCAGTGTTATGCCAGGCTTATAGTAGGTGTTCATCAACTATGATGGAATGAATGAACGAACAATAATTCTAGGCCTGAATTGTATTTGGATCCAGGGGTGGTTTTCCGGATCATAAATCAGACCCACAGAGCTGAGCTCATGGCTTTAGGGTCATTTATATTTACTGCACAGTTCATCAGTTATGATTCTGTCTTCTGAGTAGACTGGGAGGGACGTGAGTGCAGACAGCCTTGCTCATTACTGTCCACAGAAAAAGAAAAGTAGGAATAAGAGGAAAGGGCAGTGTCAAATTCAAAGGCCCAACTAACTCCACCTTGACTCTCCAGTTGATTTTTGCGGGTCTTTTAAAACTCATCCCCTGCATCCCCTCCTCCAGAAAGCAGTCTCTGGTGCCCCAGGCAGAGTTAGGGGCTGTGTTCTCTAGCTCTGCCCATCATTTCCGGCTCAGTCTCCACCAGCCCAGGGGCTCCCTGTGGACAGGGACCTCATCTAGCTTCTTTCAGGGTGTGCTGGGCTTGGCACAGAAATGTGCTCAATGAGCAAGTGGAAAGTGGACTAAGACAGAGCTGGGGTGAAGAGGGCCTGGGAGCGGCCCTGGGGCAAGCAGCACCAGAGATGTGCCCAGTGGTGCCTGCGCTTACCTGGGTGATGTTAGAGAGGCCAATCAGGTAGGAGACGATGCAGACGGCAGCAATGAAGAGCTCCCTGCGGTTGCGGAGCAGTCTGGGGTATTCGTCCACCAGTGCCGTGATGAAGCCCTCCACGGTGCAGAACTTCAGGGGGAAAGGGGGTCAGCCACCTGTGCGGCAGGTCCCAACCCCAACCCACCCAAAGCCTGGCTCTGGCGCACGACCGGAGAGCCCAGCAGCACCAGGACAGCAGGGCCAGCTGAGCCCCAGTATCTGAGCCTGATCTGCCGCTGCTTCCCTTTGTGAACTGAGGAGAGTCCCTTCCCTCTGGGCATCGGTTTCCCCATCTCAAATATGGGGAAGGTGGCCAAGCTGTCCTCTGAAGTTCCATGCAGTGGAGCATTCTAGGGGTCTGAAGTTCCTCTCCATCTTCCCAGGGGGCCTAGGGAAGTGGCCTCCTCTCCCTGCTTTCTCCCTGCTCTCTCCCAGATGGGCAAGGCTGGGTGAGGGGCTCCTCCAGGTGCCAGGGAGAACGTCCTCACCTGGCTGTCAATGCCCAGCATTAGGAGCATCGAGAAGAAGAGAATGGCCCAGAGGGGAGAGATGGGCAGCTGGGTCACGGCCTCTGGGTATGCCAGGAATGCCAGCCCGGGGCCTACAGGGAAAAGGGTAAAAAAAAAAAAATGTACGAAGCACCTATAGCATACTCAGTACCCACCCACTTTTATTTTCTACTTGAAGAAGAGTGTGTGTGGCAGGGGAGGCTGTAGGGTTGGGTCCAGAGACAAGGGGCCCAGTAAGGTGAGATGAGGAACTGCAGAGGCCTGGCCAGCAGTGGGGACAGTGGAGGGGCAGAGGGGTGACCAGATGGAGAAATAGTTAGGAGGCAGGATGGGCAGGTCCTGGCATTGGCTGGTTTGTGAGTGAAGGTGACAGAAGCGTCCAGGATGATGCTGGAGCTCTGGCCAGGGCACTGGAGGGCAGAACCCTTTGCTGCAATGGGAGCACGGGGAGGAGGAAGCTTGAGGAGGTCAGTTTGGGACATGTTGTGTTTGAGTGTCTGGGTGGGGTCATGTTTAAGCAATCAGGGAAAATCTTGGGAGGAAGAGGAAAGACACTCTCATCTCCCTGGGGCCTGGCTCTGGAAAGAGGGGTGGTGGCTGCGCGTTTCAGAGAAAAGAGGTGGCGGGCTTCCCCAGCGGGGGAGATTAGGACCTCAGTGGAGAGAGAGCATTCCTTCCCGTGTGACCAGCCCAGTTCTCCACTGTGGGGAAGAGGCTAGTCATGATTCCTTCCTGAGTCTCTGGGCCTCTGCCGTACACGCAGCAGGTCCTCGTGTATGCTGCTTTCCTGACTGAGCAGGAAAGAGAGGGGTTGCCTGGGTTTTACCCTGGACCCTGTGGTTGACTGTGGAGAGCAGAGTGGGCAGAGCCCATGGGATGAGAACATTTTTGGAACTTGGATGAGTGCACAGACTTGGGTGCTTTGTGCCATGGTGGCGAACATGTCTGAGTTGGACCAGTGTTTACATCTCTGGGGGCAAGAGTGAGTGTTCTCCCCACAGGTGTCCAGGACTGTGTGGGAAGTGGCAGCACGGCCAGGCGTTGCAATCAGCCAGGTCCGGGCTCAACTCCACAGTTCAACCATGTTTCTAGCTTCCCGAGGCAGCTAACCTCAGTGAGTTTCAGTTTCCTCATCTGTGAAATGGGGATAACAAGAGCTAGTGTTACAAAGATTCCAGGATGCAGTCCACATAAATGATCAGTGCGCTGCCTGGCACCTAGTGACCTCAATGCCAGTGAGCCAAGGTGGTGGTTAGCCCCTTCCTCTCCAGGAGCCCTGGTCCTGTGTGGTGCTGACCTGAGGCTGCCACATCAGCAATAGACCTCTTGGTGACATGGGCCATGAAGCCCACGATGGAGAAGATGACAAATCCTGCGAACATGCTGGTGCACGAATTGATGCAGCAGACAATAATGGAGTCCCTGCAGAGAGGGAAGGGCACAGTTAGGAAGGGTGGGGCTGGCAGGAAGGTGAGCAACTGGTAAGCAAAGGGCAGGGCCAGGGAGGGTGCCTGGGAGCGGGGCTATAGGGCAGGTGGGCCCATCCCCCACCCACAGGGAAGGAGACTGGCTCTGAGAAGGATGGAGTTGACAGTGGAGAGGCGTGGCTGTCGGGGAAGGTGCTCCTGCGCATTAGCACCTGTAGACATTGTTGTGGAAAGAGTTGTAGCTCCCAAGAGCGATCAAGGATCCCAGGCCCAGCCCGTAGGAAAAGAAAATCTGAGTAGCAGCATCCAGCCACACCTATAGGCAGAATAATTAAAAAATGGTCAAAATTATCATCACAAAGTCACAGTGCCCCAGGGCCTCTTACATATGCTAACCAACTCTACCTTGCAACAATCCCAGTTTACCGAGGGTCAGAGAGCTGCAATAACATGCTAAAGCTGGCAAACCATCGCTCAGAACTCAGGTGTGCACGTAACCCAGCCGGCGCCCTCTAGTACCCCGGGCCAGGAGGACTGCTCACCTCAGAGTCTGACAGCTTTCGGAAGTTGGGTGTGATATAGAAGAGGATGCCCTCCTTGGCCCCTGGCAGCGTGACTCCGCGGAAGAACAGGATGATCAGCATGATGTAAGGATAGGTGGCTGAGAAGTAGACCACCTGGGAGAAAAGTGGGTGAGACAGTCACGAACCCTCCAGCCTACCTAGGCCTCCCCCTTCCCCACTTCACTTACATCTGCACCTGTTGTGGCTCTGGGCTTGGTTCCAGCTCTCTTCCTCCAGGAAGCCTTCCTGGATTCCTAACCTGCTCTGCTTGCCATTTTTCTGCAGCCCCTGCCTGGAGTCTGAACCAACCAGCTCAGCGCCACATTGTCTCTTCCCCTACCCACTCTACTTTTTGATTTCTGTTCAAATTAAAGTAATACATGTGGTGACAGGACAATTTTAAAAATCACATGTGAACACATAATTCAAGTTCTTTTCAACAGCTTTTAAATGTAAGTTACATGAAGGACAGGGCTTGTCTTGGTCACTTCTCTGTTTTTCCAGTGCTTAAAATAGTGCATGGTATATAGCAGATACTCAACAAACGCCAGATAAATACATAAGTGCATGGATGTTAACATTTTACTGTTCCTCCTTTGAGACTTCCCTTTACATACATGACCACATTTTCTTATAAAATGAGGCTCACATTATGTACTTACCTTTTCATTTAACATGTTTAAAATGAAAAAACACAGCACACACAGCTTTGTTTCTTGTATTGTTTACTTGTTTTCTTGTTTGTTTGTTATTATTGTCTCATAATGTGATTTTTAATTATACCAAGTAGTCCCTCAATAGGTTTCACCATCCATTGATATTACTTCCTATTTTATGTGAATCTCAATAATACTACATAGAACTTTGTCTATAAAAGTAGACAAGTCACACTAAAAAGTACTACAACTTATACTAAAACAATTATACTAGCCTCTGGAAAAATTTCTAGAGGTGGAATTACTGTGAAAAAAGGAATAAACTTCTCAAAGGCTTTTAATCCATGCTGCCTAATTACCTTCCAGAAACGGAACCTCGTCCAGCATTACAGACAGTACCTTTCCTGGCAAAGATGCTAGCACTGGGTGTAATCATCTTAAAAATTATCTTTTTGCCAAATTGATCATCAGAAGATTGAGATCATTACTGGAAATGACATTTCTTTGCTCCTAGTGTGAAAGAGCAATTTTCAAGTTCAATGACCTTCGTATCTCAGAGTCATGCTCAGCATAAATTGTTCTCTAGGTTAGCTTCCTCTCCCTGCCTTGACTCTGTGATTGTGCAGGGTTAGGAAACATGGCCACAGTCTCATCGCAAAATCTCTGTACTTAGAATTAGGAACAGGGAATTCAGAACCATCTGTGTCACCTACAAGCTATATGACATCAGGCCAATTTCTTATCCTCCCTGAGCCTATTTTTTTCTTTTCTGGAAAATGGGTACAATCAACTTTGCCACTCAGAAAGGTCAGTTGCGTGAGAACATAAAATATACTTAATATTTGTTGATAGGTCTTGCACTTCAATATGTCTTCCGTGTTCAGCATGGAGCTGGGTACACAGTAGGTGCTAAGTAAATGCTTACTGCTAGATTGGTTGACTCACTCAAAGATAGTGAGAGAGGCCCTACTTTCTGTCCCCAAGAAATAGCCAGTCTCGTAATATAGCAGGAACTCCAGATACCACCCAAAATGATTATAATTGATGCCTTGTGTTGAGTGCCTACTGTGTGCTACGCATATAATATACACTTGGCATAGATTAGCCGCCTCAGTCTTTGTGACAACCCTGCTAAGGTACTATTACTGTGAACACTTCACAGATGAGGAGACTAAGACTGAGAAAAGAAATGACTTGCCCAAGAGCATGCAGCTAGGAACCAGGGGACTGAGATTCAAACTCGGCTGTTTCTTCCGAAGCCCTTAGGCCCTACTTTCTTCTGCTTCTAAAAGCTGGGCCTGGAGACAACTTTGCCCTCCTCCTGCCTACGCAGCCTAAGGACAGAGCAGAACTGCATTGACACCAGCCTTGAATCTGAAAACCTGCTGGGTCCAAAGTTCCCGCTAGACTAAAACAGGGCAGTTTTTCATCAGCTGTGTTCTTGCCCAAGTATGGAATTCATTAAGGTTCTGCTCTGCACATTTAGCTTCTTACGTAGTCTGAACCTCCCTGTCTCCAGCCTCAGTCAGTTCAAATCTTTTCTCTCCCTTACTTGCTCTAAGACCTCAGACGACACGCTTGCCCTGAGTCCTTCAGCCCAAGACCAGTAAGAGACTTGGCCACCTTCTGTCCCTGGACTCATGGGGTGAGGTTTAAAGGGGGAAAAGAAACAGGAGTGAGGCCAGTCTTTCTCCCCCTACTTTGATTAGCAACCTCCCCAAATGTCTCCAGCCTGGATACCTCAACTTGGCCTTGCTCTGCCCTTGCCATTAACAAAAACAAAAACAATAGCTCCCCTTGCTAGCTACTGAGTTTCTTACAAAATCATGGGCTCATCTGATTTGCATAACAAACCAACAGATAAGCACAGGTATTAAACCCATTTTTAGAGGCAGAAACTGTTTCAGAGAGATGAAGTAACTTGCCCAAGGTCACACAGCCGTGCCAATGGCCAAGCTGGGATTCGAACTCAGTACTATTTGAATATGAGGCCTGAGTATTCAACTACTAATCAATCCATCTCTGTTGCTCCTCAAGGGCTGGGATGTGGAGTGTTCACATCTGGACATGCCCACACATAGACTAAGGCTTGGAACAGAGCAGATGCTCAAGGACAGTTTGTTTAATGGTCCGTGAGTAACATTTGCCTTGTTTTGTGGTGACTTTGCCAGGTCCAGGGTGATCTCAAGAGACTTAATGTGAGCCTGGCACTGTTAAGTGCCTGACTTTTATTATTTCCTTTAATCCTCACACCTCCCCAGAGGAGGTAATATTATTCCCATTTTACAGGAAAGGAAACTGAGGCACAGACAGATGAAAGGACTTGCCTACATTAAGACTGTATGGGGTTCCTGGGAGGTACAGATTGCTTGTCCAGGGTGGAGATCCCTTTGTAGACCCATCCCCCTCCAGTTGCCACCGTGCACATCACTTACCTTTCCAGTCCAGCCAACACCCTTCCAGATACAGAAATACACAAGGATCCAGGCGATGGCCAGGGTGATGGCCAGAGGCCAGCGGATCTGACCCGGCTTATCCAGCCCGTCTGTCATCTGATGCATGTTGCGCCTGATGGAACAGTGGAGGGAGGAGAAAGTCACGTGGGGCTGGAGTGACCTGGGGAGCGCTGACGAGGGCACGGACATGGGCGATGTCCTTCACTGCAATTGTGCTGACATCTGTGATCACAAAGATCTCAAAGTTCATTGGGGACTATGGGGCCCATTATACTAATTGGTAGAAAGCGCTGACCCATCAGTGCCTTAATTCAGACACCACTGTTGCTCACCTGGGCGGCTGCAATAGCCTCCTAGCAGAACCCCCACCATCGCTTTCTCTGTCCCCACTCCAGGGCCCACAAATTCTTCTAGTTGCAAGTCTGGTCATGTCACTTGCTGCTTAAAATCCTGCAATGAATAGCTCCCTATTGTTCTCAGAATGAAGCCCAAACTCTCCAGGGGGACGTTGCAAGGCCTCGATGAGCTGGCCCCTATTTCTCTCTCGCTTTGGCTCTCACCGCAGCTACCTCAAACTCTCACACGATTGGACTATTTGTCGTTCCCTCGCTCCAGCCTTGGTAACTCTCCCCTGCCTCCAAGCCTTCATGCATACTCTTCCTTCTGCCAACACCTGTCTTCCCAAAATTATTTTTCATCCTTAGATGCCACTCCTTACCTGGGCTGGTCCAGGCGCCTCCTTGGCACCCCACAGCCTGCCGTGCATCTCTGCTCTTAGCCCTGGTCGTCTGGTGCTGCCACTGCCTGTTTGCTTATCCATGTCTCTAACCAGAATGGCACATAGTTGGTGCTCAAGATATGTTTATTGAACAAGTGGTTGAATGAAAACCTTAGACATGTGTGAGACAACTATATGGGGAAGATGTCTGGAAGCAGAACCAGCGGAAGCAGAATGTGATTTTTATTTGTAAGGAGTCAGCCTAGCCAAGGGCATTTCAGCACAAAGAGATTGGCATTACATGTCCTGACACCTCCTGAGAACAATTCCTCCTGGCAGCTTATCCAAGGTGCAGTGGAACCGACCACGTTGCTCCCGGTAGACTCTTTCAAGCTTCCTAGCACAAATACTTCCTTCATGCCAGAGAGATTTGGGTCCCAGGACATTTTTTTTTTTTTTAATTAATGCTCCCAACGTGCATCTTCTATGAAGAAACAATCAGCATGGCCTTCACTAGGGATGGAGTGTGCACGTGTACGTGTGCACATGTGTTTTTATTCCAAGGGACTCTGGACTGATTTTCGGGATAAATCAGGACTGTTAGCTCCCCCCCACCCCCGCCGCTGGTGATTCTTCTCAGCCTATGATGGTTATTCCCCACGGCTGGCCACCATCTACCCTTCTACACACCACTGGCTCCCTTTCCCTCTGGCTTCTGGGTTTTACCAATAGCAGGAGCTCAGAGGGTGGAAGGACAGAGATGTCAGGGCTGTACCTTCCCTGCTGGCTGTTGCTTTGTCTACAGCTGGGTTTCTCTACCAAAGGTTTAGCGCATATCTAGCAGCCTTTCCGAGGTTTAGCTCTCGCTGGGCAAGGAAGGGGCTTCACCCTTTCTTGTGCCTTCCTTAGACCTGCCCACATCTCCACAAACTTTCACCTAACTCTTCCATTAGCCTTCTGAGGGTGTCTCTGTGCCTGCTGGCCCTGGCTGATATGCTACCCACCACAAATAACCCTGCACTCACTCCCAGAACTCCACCACAGCGCTGGTCATGTTGGTGGTGTTCACGATGCTGTAGTTGGAGAAGCAGCGGTCTGTGTTCCAGGGGTTGTCACACTGTTTCCATGGCAGCGTCTGCAAAGAAACAGTGGCACAGACAAACCCTGTTGGACCCCCAGGGGCTGGAAACAGCGGTACTAGCACACTTTGTCCACCTTTACGGTCCTCTGAGCTTCCTCGCAGCCATTATCTCACTTGCCCTTCCCAACAGCTCCCAAATGCACGTCACGCTGTGAGCCCCATTTTAGAGATCAGAGAGGGGCAGCAACTTGCTTGAGATCACACAGCTAAGTGCCATTGCTAAGATTTGAACCTGTACCTTTTCACTCTAGAAATGAGCTTTCCAAGCTTCACCACATGGTTTTGTCCCTCCTGGGGCCACTTCCCAGCTATGCAACTTTGGGCAAGAGACCACCTTCATTTGAGCCTGTGCACACTGATGTTAATCGTGAATACTTACAGTGCTTATTCTTTGCCAGGCACAGATCTAAGCACTTTATACACATTTACTCCTTAATTCTCACAACTCTAGGAGGTGGGTTTCCCTTTTACCCTCATTTTATAAATGAGGGCACTGAGGCTCAGAGAGGTTAAATCTCATTCCCAAAGTTGCACAGCTGATACACAACAGGGTCAGGGTTTGAACCTGGGTCCATATAAAATGGGCTAACAATACCCATCTTAGAGAGGTGTCATGAGGATTAGATGTTAGCCCACAAAGTGCCTGGCTCAGTGCCCAGCCTAGCGCAGGGGCTCAAGTCAAGAGGCTTCAGCTGAAGACCGCCTCCAACTCCCACCGCTGGAGGAGTGGTCTTGTCAGCAGAACTGCGATCCCAGTGAAGGGAGGGTGGCTCTGGGCTGGCTCCTTCTTGAGGAGTGGCTGGAGGGGCCACTCACCGTGGTGAAGGAATTGTACAGGTAGTAGATAGCCCAGGAGATGATTACAATGTAGTAGATGTTCAGCCAGAAGGACAGCACAGCAGCAGCAAGGCCCACACCTGGGAGTGAACACACCATAATAATATTCACTTAATAACCATAATTTCCCCAATGCCTGTCACTGTTATCATTTCCTACAATGTTTACACTCTTACTCGACCTTGGAGAGAGGCAGGAACTTGGCTAAGGTCACATGCATCTGGCAAGTAAGAAGCCAGGCCTTGTATCTGGGGCCCCCCCACAGGTTACCTGAAGGTGGGGTTAGGTCTGGGCTTGCCAGGCAAGCATGATTCTCCCCCCATTCATCTGAGTATCTGTCAGTACTGAGCAAGGAAGCTAAGAAAGTCGCACCCGGCATGCGCCAGGGAAACTCAGGGGAATGAGCTCGCAGAACAGGGCAGGCTGATATGCATGTGGGGGCCTCTGGATTGCATCCTCTTCACCAGCATGCTCATCTGTCACCTGGCCCCTTGCAACGGCTCCACTCTGCTCAGACATGGCTGAGCAGCTCCCTCTGTCCAGAGGGGTCAAGCATGTTGAGAAGGCTCTGGCTTTGCCACCATCCTGTGGGCAGAATCACCACCACGACCCACAGCCCCACTCTGCAGACTTACCTTTGAACATGGGGGCCAGCTTCCACACCCCCAGGCCTCCGATGGATGTGTACTGGCCTAGAGAACATTCCAACAGGAAGAGTGGGACCCCCGCAAAGATGAGTGTCAGGAAGTAGGGGATCAGGAAGGCCCCTGCAAAGTCAAGAAGAGAGACGCTTGTGGCTCCGAAGCTTTGGAAGAGCTCCGGTGAGAGAGCATCATGGCAGGGCATTCTGGGGTCCCTGCCATGATTTCCTCACATTCTGCCCCAAAAGCAGTGCCTACAGCCAAAATGAGGCTCAAGGACATTCTCTGCTCAAAACACGTGCCCCACACTTTGCAAATGAAGCGGTGGACCTTCTGATATCAACAGGGGATGCTGGCCCTTTGGGAATCTTTTAAAAAAAAGACAAGAAACAGGAAGTGAGGACTGACACTCCTTTTGGAGTCTCTAAGGGACCCATTCCCTTAAGGTTGTCCCAGAAAGCGTCTAAGAGGGGAACTTTCTGTGGGGTCCAGGCCCGGCTGGAACGTAGCCAGACCAGCACTTACCGCCGCCATTTTTTCCACAGAGATAGGGGAATCTCCAGACATTGCCCAGGCCAATGGCATAGCCCACACAGGACATGAGGAAGTCGAAACGCCCCTTCCATGTGTCCCGGTCCGGAAGGTCCGCCGCCTTCTTCTGCACTTTGACCACCAGGGTTTTGGGCTTGTCATTGGCCACAGGGACCTCGCTAACCTCTGTGGAGATCTGCCCATCAGCCACCTTGCTTCCATTAGTTGCCATGTCTCGGAGTTTGGATGCAGGGGTCCTGGCAGATGGACGTGCAATGTCAGCTCCAGTCCACGTGGACAGCAGTTTTGCGTCTCAAGGTCACCCTAAAACAGAGGGCTGGGGTGACAGGCAATGAAGGGAGGCAAGATTACAGAGCTACCCCAAAATGACAACAAAAAAATAACTCACAAAAAACTAGGGGCCCAAGAAAGCCCTTTCATAAGCCCTCTGCTTCCCATCAGGCTCTGCTCCCAGAGGAAGGTGATTGCCTTTTGTTTCCAAAGACAACAGGTGAGGGTGTGGTCTGTTGTCTCCAGGACTAGCTTCAACTGCAGCCATCTGTGTCACGTGCCCTCCTTTATGTGTCATGCTCAGAGGAGAAACCCAAGGTGTTCAAACTTCCAGAGAAGAAAATTAAGTGCTCCTCGTCTTTGCCTCCCTGGATGCAATCAGATTTTCATTTCCTGATGCTGTAATAGCCATAGCAGGGTAAGCAGTGGCAGATCTGAATGTGGGGCTGAATAGGGAGGTGTCCTGGCTGCAGGTGGTGGGTGAAGGTGGTTTATGAGCACCACCACTGACCACGATCAAAGTCCTCTACTACTTTCAAGTTGTGTGACTTTGAGCAAAGTTCTTAACCTCTCTGGGCCTCACTCTCCCTATCTTTTAAGTTGAGAATGATAGTAGTACATCCCTCTTTAGGCTGTTTTTTTTCACTTATTTATTGAGACACACTGTGCCTGGGAAATAATGAGAACGTTTTGCTATTTTATCAGCAGTTCCCAAGCCTGGCTGTGTTTCCAAGTCATTTGGGAAGCTTTTTAGAAAGACACATTCCCAACTCCCACCCAAGATGTGCCACATCAGAATGTGTAGGAGATAAGCCCCAAATCTATACTTCTAACAAATTCCCTAAAGGAGATTTTTTATGCCGGGAGCCAGTCCCAGCCCTCAGGTGAGGAAGGACCACTGGCTTAGAGGACCTCTCTGACCCTCAATCATCCCCAGACATTCTACCCACTGCACCCTTCTCACCCCTAGTTCCAGAGAAAGTAAGGAGTAGAGACTGGATTCAGTCCAGTCCTGGGTTCAAATCTCCACTCTGCCTTTTGCCAGCTGATTGGACCTATGTACTACTCCTGATTGCTCTAGGCTCAGTTTCTCCATCTATACAATGGGAGTAATGCTACCTGTTTTGTAGAATTGTGGCAAAAATGAGCTTTCATGGCGTATAAGAGTGCTTTTCACCTGACTGGTTTGGAAATGGTTATCATTTTGGTTAGTAATATTACCTGATGATTTTCTGTAGTAGGTCAGCTCTACAGCAGCTCCCTCTGCAACTCCTGAGTGAGAGCCTGCAAAGCAGAAGAGAGGAGGGGCAGTGAACTGGCAGGCGGCGCTGCTGGGCAGCTCTGGGCAGAGAGCAGCAGGGGTGCAGGAAGCCTGCCAGCATCTGTGCTGTGTATGAGCCCCTTGGAGCCACCCAGCCAGGGTGACCTCAGCGAGTCCATGCAGCACGGCTGGCCCATGAGGTCCTGGGAGCATGCAGGAGTGGGGCCCGATGCCTTTGGAACAGCTGTGAGAGTGGGCATGAGGGCACTGTGAGGAAGATGTTCCATAATTTTATCAGAAAGAAAAGATATATCAGAGGGGCTGCAGCTTCTCAGGGCCCCACTGGGAGCCAATGAACGCAGCTGATAATTTTCTACATCCTCCATCCAACCCTGCGGTAATGTTATGAAAAACCATGTAGGCACATGAGAGAGAGACCCTTGTTTGGGGAATGAGAAAAGCATGTTTCAAAACAGTTTCTTTAGTAGGATACTATTTTTACCTCCCCCTCCCCAATCTGTTCATTAAGAAAGGGGGGAAAAACCCACTAAGTGATTTTTCCCTAATATGTTTCCAGTGATTAGTTTATAAGTGATTTTTGCTTTTTGGGGGGTACTTTTCTGGATTTCTACAATTATTTTTAAATTTCTACAAAAATTTACAAATGAAATAAATTTCTAAGTTTCTACAAAATTTGTTAAATTAATACAATCACACAGAATAAACTTATGGAACCCTCAGAGCAAACAGGAATGTGTGAAGCACTGGGCGGTGGACTCTCAGATGCAGGAACCAAAGCAATGTGTGGGCCCTGCCCCGGACAGCTTCCTCCCTCGGCTCTGCCCTGCCGGGGGACTCAGGCTTGCTGTGCACTCGCCCTCCGGCCCTTCGCATGCAGTCCCCATTACCAAACACCATTGTTTCTTCCTAGAGTTCACGGAGAACCAGACCACCTTCGGACAACCCTGCTTCTTGTTCTCAAGGGTGACCCACAGGCTTTTCTAGGTCCTGGCCTGGGCATGGCACCATCAGATTCAGGCAGAGTGACCACTGCGCGCATTGTCAGGAATGGCAGGAGGCAGGCGATTCTGTGGTCTACCATACAGTCTTGGGATATTCACGGGAGAGAGCGGCCTCAGCAAAGCGCGGGGGACGGGGGGTGACTAAAGTGGATCTCCTTTGTGGCAGTCAGCCATTCACTGCAGAAACAGTAATGCCCATAACCGTCCCCGTGATCTACCCTTGTGCACTCCAGCTGCCATGTTTGTTTAAAATGATCCAATGACCTCAGACCAGGACTGATCACCTGACCCTGGCTAGCCAGTAAAAGCTCCTTTCCTGGGAATTTGGCATGCGATGGAGAAAGAGGACCAGTCTCTCCAGTAACTTGGTACCACTGAAGCAGTCATCTCCTGACCACCTTGTACTCAGAGTAGCAGGGAGACTTGGTTTGCTGAGGAGGAAGGAAAGTGGAAATCAAAAGACGGAGACTCTTGAAGGCATTTTACTTTGTGGTTCCAGGCTTTTTAGAGACTGTATGTTCCTGTTCTTGGAATTTTCAAAGCAATCCACAGTCATAAAATAAATTCCCCATTTTTGCTTACATTGGGCTCAGGGGATTTCTGCCACAATCTTCAACCTCTGCGCACTACCTCTCACCACTTGACTAAGTTCTCTGGAATGTCTGTGGCCTGTGGGAACAGCTCCTTGCCTCTACTCTGGATTTACTCATTGATTATCATGGAGGCTGAAACCAAATTCCAAAAACTACTGTTGTTTTTTTTTAACTGATGCTGTGCCCTGGGCCTCAGGATCACCCAACACCATTCAGGGAGACAGACAAGGGGAGGGAGAGAGACAAGGAGAGGGAGAGAAAGAGAGGGAGAGGGAGGGGGAGAGTGAGAGTGCGCAAGCGAGCGGAAGAGAGCCAGATGCCACTCTGGTTCACGTCCTGTGAGCGGGAAAGACAGCAGGACGCGTTTAATAGGGTGAAACTTTAATAGGGTGAAACTTCGTGTGTATATCCTTTGAAGAAGCCATTCAACATCAACACAAAGGAAGGTCGAAAGGTCAGGGGGGAAGAGTTCAGTTTATCAGGAAGTTCATGCTGTCCTCTTCTCCACAGTATATTGAGCCCCTCCTCACGCCACGCCTGGAGGGATCAGAGACGGTGGCTGCTCTGAAGAATTCGCCGTGAAGAAGTCATACATGTGATCTTCAGAACATGGAAAAGCGTATTCAGATTTAGTTAAATGTCTACAACTGCTCTAGGAAAAGCCACATACGCATGTATGGAGTTTTCCTTTTAGTATATGTACTATATGTGAAGATCATGGATCTATAGATCCATGCATTTAGATAATTGATGCTACTACCTCAGTGCTAATCAGACCTCAGCTCCCTCTAACACTTACTGGTGCTGGGGTGAGTTACTTCCTCATTTTGAACCTCATTTGTAAAGTGGGGGGATAATAACAATACTTCTCTCATAGGTTTGTGGTGAAGATTAAATAGCATGTATACAAAGCATGTGAAAGAATGCCTGCCTCAGAGGGCGGGCTTAGGAACCTCCACCATTGTCATCACTGTGATTGCTACCATCTGCGCTATACATCATGGTTCTTAATCTGGTACTCACAGCTTTCTAGGGGCTATAATAAAGATATGATGATGGTGATGATGATGAAAGCAGCAATGTACTGAGGGTTCATTATTCAGGCCCTTCAGCATCTTTCAGCATTTTGAAAAGCCAGTCGAAAATCATCCTGTTAGTTGCCATGGGGAATACTAGCTAATAAAAATGTCAAGTCTTTTGCTTTGGCGCTTTTTATATCAATTCAAAGTGGTCTGGCTGATCACTTTGGGTCATTCAGAAGCTGGGAGTGGAACATTTGTGTGTTTGGTTAAAATAATAAAAAAGAATCATTCTGTAATAAACAAAGTCTGGTAAGAAAAAGAAAAAAAATCCAAACATTGGGAGGAAAAGGATAAAGGGACCCCTGTGAGTGAAAAAGCCCAGGACCCAGTGCTTACATAAAGCAGTTCCAGAAGTCGCCTCGCTCACACACTCCAGAGAGGAAGAGCTGCGTGGGAATTTTAATTCCCGGCACCAGCAGGTTAACCTGTCGCTCCCCTCATGAAAAAGAGACCGCAGAAAGCACAGGCACGTGCTGTCTTTCTAGAATCAATGACCTCTGCAGCTGAACTAACCTTTTACCATTGTTGCCTCCCGTTTCCTGAAACGGCCTCCTGTGCTCTGTGGAGCAGGGGCTGCTCTGTGTCGGAGGCCGGCCCTGTGGGTTTCCTGTGGTGAGACCGTACGTTTCCCTGCTCCTGTGTGCCAGTCGGAGGCCCATCTTTACCTGCTGGCACAGCAGATAGAAGGAGTGCCTCTCACCAGCTCAGGATGTAGGGCACAGGGCATTTTTCCAGAGTCTTCCAGTTCTTCCTCATCATGTGAACAAGAACCTAGCTCCATGGTCCTCCTGATCCTTAATATGCCACCATTAACTGAATTCCACCAAAGCAACTTTCAAAAGGGCACTGCTAATGTGAGACCACAAACGGTAAGTCCTCTGTGTTCACTCACCTACTCATTCACTCCTTCATGTACTCAACAAGTATATAATGAGACCATGCTATGTGCTGGAATGGTGACAGAACAATTGTTTCAAGCATTTTGTATTCTGAACTATACCCTGGTCACCAGAATTTGAACCAGTCAACTAATAGGGCCAGCAGAAAGATTCACTTTGTAAATACTTACTGAGGGCCTAATGTGTACATGGAGCTGAGCTAGACACTCAGGTTGCAAGGATTAATGAGGTCCATGACATTGGCAAGGTCACAGCCTAGAAGGAGAAATATCTCTGCCTACAGCTCATTAGAATCGTAAGTACTGCGAGAGTGTATGATAAGACACTCTAGGCCTCGAAAGAATGAGTTAATGCAACCAGAGAAGGTATCCCAGATGAGGGAACGTTTGAGCTGGGTTTTAAAGGTTGAACAGGTGTTCATCAGACTTGAAAAGAGGGAGGGGAATCCCAAATGTAGGGAAATACATGGACAAAAGTAGGGAAGTTTGAAGCTTGGAAGGTCTGTTTGTGAATGGCCCTGAAAGCCAGACTAAGGAATTTAGGGACAAATTGCAGGAATGGGACAGGAGTGATAACGTGATCAGATTAATATTATAGAAGAAGACTCATTCTTGGGGACTCTGGGAAGGACTTAAAGAAACTCAAGGAAGGAAGGTGGTAAAAATATTCCCATGACGCCCCATCCTTTTTTGATGTGCTCTCTGTGACCAAGTCCTAAGGCCATTGATGAAAATGGGCCAAACCAAGCAGAGAGAATACTTCTCTGCCAATCCCTGAGTGACGAGATGCCTTGTAAGAAAAAGAAAACATGGAGTTGGAAAGCTCTAGATCAGAAGTGGCAACATGGGTCAGAATTGGCCCTTGGACTTATTTTATTTGGCCTAAATAAGAAAATTTTTTTCAGTTTGAATCAGGAGCCAGAAATTGAACTCCCAGGGATACAGCATTTCAAACCGAGGGAGAGCAAGGGCAAAGCCCCCAAGGCAGGAATAAGCTTGGCTTGTCTGAGAGACAGCACGGAGGCCCAGGTGGCTGCAGTCCCATGCAGCAGGGGACAGAGCGAGTCAGAGGCTGGCAGGCGCCAGGCCACACAAGGTCTCAGAGACCACTGCAAGCGGTTCGGATTTTATTCCAAATGGGATGGGAGAGCCTGGAGGGTTTAAGCAGTGGGGGTGATCTGACTTTTCCTTGTTAGTCCCACCCTGACTGCCCAGAAGAGGGGCAAGGGTGGAAGATGGAGGCTCATTGAGAGGCTGGGAGTCTAGGCAAGACATGGTGGTGACGTGAATGTGGCAGCTGTGGCAGCTATGGCAGACGTGGTAAGGAGTGGCACTGGGGGTCTCTTTTGGAAGTGGGGCCTGAAGGCCCTGTTTGTGTATTGGCTGTCAGCAGCCCAGCCCTGGGCCAGATGGCAGGCGGGGGGGAGG